TGACCTTCGAGGCACTCGGAGTAAATCATGGATGCTATTTAGTGCCAGCGTACTTAGGACTGCTACCCTCCATGTGAGTGTGATATTTCAGGAACCCCTTCAGGGAGTTTCCTCACCCGCTTCTGAAGATGAGCACATTATGTTTTGCCAGTCAAAGAACAAGGTCAAAAACTTTTTATGGTCTCAGACATTCTTTACTGCGACCTCATAATGTTGTACAACAACACCTTCATGGACAGAATAACTCAGGAAATGGTTCTGGCCAATTATGTCAGACCTTTTTGACTCATGTCTTATAAAATGCCCGTCTTAGCTTACAATGAAGCTTATAACTTCAAACCATGGCTCAGCTAGTGTAGGTGACAGCGTGTTTCACAGCATTTAACTTTGAGCTGACTGATTATGATTTTGTAAAAAGTTCGACTATATGCAGATGACTGTTTTTTTCACAGAGAAAATGTAATTAGCATTGCATTCTTTATTTTGATCAAAACAATACATCAAAATATTTATTTTAGATAAAACTTTACCATGTTTTCATGACTTACACATCTTGGTCTTTAATTTTGAGATGTTTTGTTTCCTTTTTAATATGCTGCTGTCATATTTTGAGTCCAGAAAAAAAGAAGAATGAGTTTGTCCTTGTGTAAATGAGAGCGAGACGTTCTGAGATATTTAAGATAAAAGATATACACCCTAACCCTAACCCTAACCCTAACCCAATCTTTGGTCCATTTTAATATGTAGACATTTTGAATATGGGCTACTTTCACCTGAGGGGAGTTTTTATGTGGTCTGTGTCATAAGTCAATGTTTGATCCCTAATTCAAATTCCGTCTTACGTGCAGATTACAGATCCTCAGCCGTCCTTCACACCAACAACAGTTAGGGATTTAGGAAAATGAATTCAGAACTTTTTTAATCCGCTGCGGTTCAATATTTTTACATTCAGGTTTTGCTTTTTCTCCTGGTCTCGGCAGAGTCCCAAATTCCAACTTTCTGGGATATTGAATGCAGCGCAGTGTGGTGAGAGCTGATTGGATTCAGATTTAATTACACACACACACACACACACACACTTAGGCTGTGTAATAGCTGCTGTGGGACTGTTAGAGGGATGTAATAAGCACAACTTTAATTATTTGTGTAATGAGAAACATGAGAGTGTAGAGCAGCAGCCTGGCTGTAACAGAAATCACTGCAGTATGCTGGGTGCTCATTAGTGATGTTATTGAGATTGGAAACATGTCACTGTACACGTTCACATACGTAATACAGCACAAACACACAACACCTCCTGTTATTCACCTTTATTTGTGTCCTCTTTGCTTTTCAGATTTTTAAATATGTTATTGTTTAGAGGATTCAGTTGTTTTTAAATGTCACATGTCAAATAAAAGAACCAGGGATACACCGGTTGAATCATGGTGATAAAGGCCAAAGGTCAGGGTTTTTTTCTTTTTTGAAGTAGCAAAATCAGGTCTCACACACTACTAGTAGTGTGGTGTGTACTGGATACGGGTTCTTGTGAATTAG